GGGCCAATAATCAGTCCTATGCCTCGTGATGTACTAACCTGAAATGCAACGTTTAATATGAAGATAGTACTCCAGATGATGCACCAAGAACCCATAATAGACTACTAAATTGTTCATCTTACAACTGAAAGTGCCAAAGCCCGATACTCTTCTCTACACACTTCAGAAGCGTATGCCTGGAAAATACATCGAAGAAGGTGGTAAAACTAAAAAGTAGTTCAAAAGTTGAACTATTAGCACTCTTGAATAAAGCAATATTTATGAAATGCTTATATTTTGTAATTGATATATATGTATCCAAATTTACATACTCAGAGTACATACCCTTATTGTGCCAAGCAGACTATTGAAGCACCCAAGAAGAAATCTCATAGACAGTGCCATCCAGAAGCTCGTGCTAAGGCCAAAAAGAGTGTTGAATACAACCCTGAAACCCAAAACTTATGATGATACAATTACCAATAACAACATACCTTGCCAAATGACTTCATTTTCTTAATCATAATAAGTTAGCAAGGGAGTGAATGAGAAAATTCTGACACTGAAAATGTCCCCATCAAAATTATAGGTTTACGGCCATATCGATCAGCCACCACTCCCCAGAAAAGAGATGTCAAAGCTCTTCCAACCATAAAGGAAGATCCTAGGAGGAACAAAAGATTACTGGAATTTATACTAGTTCATTCTGAACCCTAAATTTAATAGAATACAAAAGCTACTGAACATTAGTGACAGATATTATATTACCAACAAATCCTGCATAAAAACCAATGTCTTCCTCTCTTTTTGCAATGTGAAAGTCTCTGATCTGACAAAAAAAGGCATATACAATCATATAAAATGACATTATTAGTCTGCATACCAGAATCATCAATTCTACAAACTAACAGCAAAAACTATTTCCTCTGCCTTCAATAATAATAAGAGGTAATAAAAGTCATAATATGTGATAGGTTTCTCAGAGGCAGATAACATACCATAAAGTAAAGAAAAGGGAATAGTGATGATGTTTGCAAAGCTGAAACATGTAAAACAACAATAAGATACGGCTGTTAAAACACAATTTAAACTTTAAAGAGACAGCAAACTATCAGGAAAAGGAAAATCATAGAAATTCCTTTTCTACAAACAACATAACTCCATTAAATAGTTATGTGAAAAGGGTGAATGTAGTCCGTCCAAAGAGGAGTCCAAGATACTAGTATTCCTCCACAAAGCAACCATAAATTGATCAAAACACAGCAAGTATTGGAGAGCTAAAAAGATTTGATTATTACCATCCAATGGCAACCCAAGAGCAAATATCATTAACGGATGCCAAAAAACTCAACCTTTTTCCTTTTTTTTTTTTAATACAGTTTATAGATAGTTATGAAGGACTGACCAGCACAGAGAGAGACAATCCAGATAAAAGACAAGTTCTTGTACGGGACCCCTGTTTGTTCTTGTTTGAGACGATCCATCTTACAACCTGGGCAGTTTTCATAGTACTTCACTTCCCTCTCCAACAATGAAGCTGTGTTCTCCTCCATTTTGCAGAACAAAGAAAAAGCAAAGCTGTTATCTTCTGCCCGCTGGGTCCAAAATTTAAACAACTCCTCATAACTTTTTGGAGCAAGGCTTTTCAAGGTGGAGCTACTTTATCCTCTACTTCCTGATACGGGAATCCAGTGTGAGTAAGAAAGCTTGTTCGGTTGATCTTACATATTCAAAATGAGATGTCTCTATTGATTGAAATGATTGGCTTTGTGCTAAATTTGAAGTATAGTCTAGACGCACATGCAGATGATTGTAGCTCTCAAGTTACGTAACTTGATCAAAGAAGAGAGGTAAAGACAAAAAAACACATGAAACATGCCGATACCTTCAGATTTTGGTGCCTATATGTTCTGTCGTTTAGAAAAACGTCATGCAATTTTCTGCTCCAAAACCCATACAATTGACTTGGTGACTTCTTTTCGGACAAAGATTTTTCCTGGGCAGTTGGAAGTGAACCTCACATATTAAGCTTTTTTACTGTGAACAGATAAATTCTTCCTTTTTATCGCAAGTTCTTCATTTTCGCTTTCAAGATTAGAAAATTTTATGTGTCACGGATCTTAACTGAAGATGGTTAAGTCTATAAGCAGTAGATATATGCAGTAAATGTAGGTAAATTTGTACCCAATGAAGTGTGACAAATTGTGGCAAGAACCATTAATAATTAAAATTTATAGCTTGAAAAGAATATAAATGTGAGGGAGTATGAGACTGGAAAACCTGCAAAGATCACATTTCATGCGAAAAAGTAACCATGGATAATGATATAGCACTGATTGTGCTAACTGTTTGATAGTAACTCAAGGACATTCAATATATTTTCACTAGTTCATCACAACCTTCAACTGCACAATGCCAACTCTTTCTACTTTTATATTTGATCCCCTTGTTTCTTGCTAACATGAAAGGGAGAAATTAAGCTAATCAGCACAAATTCAGTTTGTCTTTCAGTAAAATAAAGAGAGCCTAACTTATAAACATGGCAGTTTCTGGAAGCAGTTGAATACCAACATACTATAACTTATAAATGTACAAAACACCAAACCCTTGGATGAATTCCCAAAGCAGCTCCATTGACAAACCAAGAGGATAGCCCTAACATTTACCGCAACTACAAAACTCTCAACACTGGAAGACACGTGTCAGAAAGAGGCTGAGCTCGTTCTTCTAAGCTGATACTTAGGAACGGGTGTTTCACAATGAAAAATTTTCTCAAATTTCTGCAATAAGTGTTCAAAAGAATACATAGTCAGATAGAACAAGCTCTGAGAAATAAAACCATTGAATGTATAGCTTCAGTTCTGGCACTTCTTGTGCAATCAATTGAATGCAACAAACTTGTAGAAATCAAACCTAGTAAGAAAATAGCATCACCAGGATGAACAGTCAGTTCTTCGAAATTCTTATCCATCAACCTTTCGTATGTGATGATATGTATTTTTGTTCATCCATATGTTATTCTAATAGTCTTGAATTCTTGATCCAAATTATATAAACTAACGACTCAACATAATGGGCCAGAATAAGACCACATATTGATTAGGGTACACAGCCATAACTGGCACAATTGCAAGCTTCCTATCAGTATATATCAAACAGAACAAAAAATGGATTAAATTTTACGTATAACTACTACCAAAATCAGTAGATGGCTGCATCTCAGAATGTATCTTAAATAATTCTAAAGGACAAGCTGCTTATATTCTATTTATCACCCTGAATTTGTTACAACTTACTCTAATTTTCTTATGAGTAGCAATCCCATCAAGGTTGATTGGACTAAACTCAAAACCAAGTAACTTTGACAGTTTTCTGTTATCAGATCTCATTACTTATGAAGGATCATCTTTCTGATCTCCTTTTGGCAGTCTCATCCAAGTCCCCTAGTCATGTCAAGGGCCAGTATTTCAAATCTTCTGATATGGTAAGAATGATGAATAATGGCACATCATTATAAATTTTCTAGAAAGTCAAACCTCACTCCAGTCTCCATTTGCTTTGAGTAGATGGTTTTGTATGGTTATCTATTTAAACAACATTAAATGCACATATTAAAATCTTTGAGACACGTTTCAGGGTGCCGATGTCAAGCCACATAGCAATGTGGATCAAAGATTCTACCTTCTCTTCCTTAAGCTTTATATTTTCCTCTTCCAATCGTGAAACCTTGGTCACCAGCTCATTATGGTAAGCCTGCGCAAAACCACAAGACCAGGGGAAAGCATAAAATGAAAAGGAAAAAATAGTTTAGAGACAGTAAATTAACCAAAAACATGTTAAAGGCTTGCCTGCTTTCTGGCTCGTGAGCGTGCAGCAGATTCCCTATTCTTGATCTTTCTCCTCAACCTCCTCTCAATGGTCTTCTCAAGTGCATCTTGGCTATCCCTTTTCCGCCCTTTCATACTTGTGTCTGATAATGTGCCAAGTGACGGCGTAGGTGACAATCCAATTTGCGGCAGAAAACTTTTTGGGGTGCTATCCAATTCCATTGTAGCACCTAAAGATGCGTCAGCAACAAAAAGCCCTGCTTGTACCAAAAAATCCTCCAATGTCGTTTCACCAAGTGTTGGTTCTCTTTCCTGACCCTTCATCTCCTCACCGAACCTCTTCCTCTGCCCTTGTTGTATCTCGTTCCACACTTGATCAACTGTCTTCCCACTGAAAGCTCTAGCCAAGGTTAGGCTAGCCTGACGTTGGAGAGAAGATGATGATGAGGTACTCTCAGTATCTATCCGTAAGGGCTGATTTGATTCGGTAGTCCATACATTATTAAGAAGCTCATCAAGGTTCATGCTACCTAGGGGCTTTCCCAACATCCCTAGTTGGTTTTCAACTTCATTTAGAGTGAGACTATACCATGAATTCTGTCTCACCAACGGAGACGGCTGTAAATGAGACTGCTGGCCACTGCTTTGGGATCCCATTGTTTGAATCCCCATTCAAAACAATTCTCACCCTCAAAACCCTATCAATACATATTGCAAACCCAAAATCACCAAAAAGAAAAAAAAATTACTATAAACCATACTATACAATTCCACTAACTAACAAAAGTAATTCTCTTTTTTTTTCTTCCCTTTCTGCAGCAAAATTCAATGTAATTTGTGATCTCCTAATCTAAACCAAAAACAAAGAGAGATAGAGAAAAAGCATAAACTTTTCTAAACTAATGTGAAAATTCAACACTACCCAAACCTTGCCTACAATCAAAATCCCTAAAAACTCTAAAAAAATTAGATTAATTCCCAACATAAAAAAAGTAAAAAAAAAAAAAAGAAACAAGCAATATAATCAAGTTTGCCCTCCCCCCCCCCCCCTTTTTTTTTTTTCCATTTTCCCACCATTTACCAAAAAAAAAAAAAGCCATCTTTCTTATTAAAATTTCTCTCTTTTTTTACCTGTTTAACCCTTGTTTCCTTTCAGAACTTAATCCTGGGAGAGAGCAACAAAATTCCCAGCAAAAAATAAAACCAAAATCGTGCTTACCAAAAGCATTTTACAGCTTTTTTAATTAACAAAGAACAAAATTTTAAATTGATAAATTAAAGAAATAATAATTATACCAGCCAAATTAACTGTTAATTTAAACTTTTGACTAATTAAAATTCAAAAAAATAAATACAAACGAAATTTTTTGTATTACCTGGAAATTCTGATCTTGGATCGAGACTTAACAGATTTTTTTTTTTTTGCTAACCTGTTGTTACGTCAAAACTCCACGTATTACGTTGAATTTAAGTGCGATTGTGCACGGCACGAGTGGATTTTTAATCGGAGCCCCGAATGATTTCAGTTATCTGGGGAATCGACTCTGGAGGCTTTGACATCTTCGGATTTTCTCAGGCCCGTATTTTGCTGATTTGTAATGGGTGGGCCCAGTAAAAAGAACCGAGTTCGTGATGTCTTGACAATGGTTGGCCAATAAGAAACTGCCATGTGCTCAAATGACGTGTTAGCTTTTCTGGGCTTCACCAATCACCATCATGCAATCACGTCGTCCACCTCTTCGCGGTTGGACTGGTTGGTCCTTTCTCTTCGACGTCGTTTTAGAATTGAATAAATGTTTATTATAAAGGGTGGTCAATTTAGTTGAGTTAATACTCATTACAATTTTGATTATTGAAACTTAAAAAATTCATCGATTTTGAATTTTTAAATTTGATTAGTTACTTTAATCTGCTTTATTTAATTTAATATCATCGAGATGATGAAATTCAAGTTCGAGTTTTGATTATAAAATTACGTATTATATATAATACCTACCCAAATTCAATTTATTTATTTGTTCATAATTCAATTTTATCTTATTGATAAATAATAGATTTTGAATATATTCTCGAATTCAAATTCAATTAACTTGCAAGTATAATTCATTTATACTTCATTAAATTGTGATTTTATCAAAATCTTAATATGACATTCCTCTTTCGATCCAATCTCTATATTATTTGTTTTTTGAATTTAATCATCATAATTAAGCACGTGGATTAAAACTTTCTCACATGAATCACATTTCTTAACCCATATCCTCAACTTCGCATTTATTAAAATCTAAAATTAACACTTTTGCCACATCCAATTATGATTTATTTATCTCACATATACATATAAAAATATTTTCTAAGTATATATGAGGAAATTTAATAAAAGAGATTGAAGAAGGAATTTAAATCTTCGATCTTATTCCTTTAAATAACGAAAAACAATGGTTAGATTAAATCATAATGTTTACATGCCAATATTTGAAACATTTAAAATTAAATGACTCAGTTTTTAGGGAAAAAGAAAAGAAAATTAAATAATTTTTAAAAAAATTAAGAGGTATTGGTGGCTTGATATACCTATTTATGGACATGAAATGTGGATCCATTACAATGTTAAATAGAAAAAACTCATAATAAAAACTATTATAAATAGTAAAACAAATAATTTATTTACACCTATTATTAACCATTATTAATACAAAACTCCAAATTATTTGTCTTATTTTTTTTAAATTAAAAATTTTTAAAAAGAAAATGCACATAATGTTAAAATAAAAAATAATAGTTTAAAAAAAGTGACCCATTCAAAAAAGAAATAATTCAAAAGAAAAATAAATATTTAAAACGGGCTTAAAGAAAAAGAGCCGGGCCCAGTTTTCTTGTTGGACCAAAAACTATGGGCCCAGATCCTACCCTACTGAATAAGAAACCAATCAATAACGAGTCAGGTCAAGGGGGGATTGGTGAGCAGAAATCCTAGCTTCTCCCAAAAACAGAAGCCCCAAAAAACCCTAAATTTGTATCTTTCGAATCTGCATTTCCTCCATGGCGAAAAAGCGAAAGCAGCGATCTTCTGAGCCCGAGCCCACCCAAACGACGCCGGATCCTCAACCAATCCAAGAAGAAGAGCAACAGCAACAACCGGAATACGTAGCCGACGAAGATCCGAACGCTAAAGTAGAAGAAGAACAGCAGCTACAAGAAGTTGAAGAGGAAGTAGAAGAAGAAGTAGAAGAGGAAGTTGAAGAAGAGGAAGAGGAGGATGAGGAAGAAGAAGAGAACGAAGAAGACGATGACGAAGAAGCTGAAAACCAAACCCTAGTCGGTTCCTCCAACGCCGCTGTTCAAAATGGAGCACCCAAAGAAACGAGTCAAGAGGAGGAGTTGGACGACGAGCCGTTCGAGAAACTTCTAGAACCATTTGGGAAAGATCAATTGATTACCCTTATTAAGAAAGCGGTCGAGAAGCACCCGGAATTCATGTCGTCGGTTCGGGAGTTCGCGGATGCGGACCCAGCTCATCGGAAGATATTCGTTCATGGGCTCAGTTGGGATACCACTGCTGAAACCCTCACCGCCGAGTTTATTAAATATGGGGAAATCGAAGAATGTAAAGCGGTTACTGATAGGGTTTCTGGGAAATCCAAAGGTTACGCGTTTATTCTATTTAAGCATCGGAGTGGGGCACGCCGGGCTTTGAAACAACCCCAGAAGAAGATTGGGAATAGAACCACTTCTTGCCAGTTGGCTTCGCAGGGACCAGTTCCAGCACCGCCTCCCTCTGCTCCACCGGTTTCTGAGTATACTCAAAGGAAAATTTTTGTTAGTAATGTGTCAGCTGAAGTGGACCCGGAGAAGTTGCTTGAGTATTTTAGACAGTACGGAGAAATTGAGGAAGGTCCGCTGGGGCTTGATAAGCAGACAGGGAAACCTAAAGGGTTTGCTCTTTTTGTATACAGGTCGATTGAGAGTTCCAGAAGGGCCTTAGAGGAGCCTCATAAGAATTTTGAAGGTCATGTTTTGCATTGCCAAAAGGCTATAGATGGGCCGAAGCCAAATAAAGGTGGTTATGGAGGAAGTGGTTCTGGTGGGCATCATCAGTACCAGCAGCATCAGCAAGGACAACATCAGATGCAGCCTCATTACCATCATGCTAAGAAGGGAAAGTATTCGACTGGTGGATCAGATACTGGGCATTTGATGGCTCCATCTGGGCCTGCTGCAGTGGGGTTCAACCCTGGAGTTGCTGCTGCTGGGTTTAACGCTGGGGTGGCTGCTGCTGCACCGGCTTTGAACCCGGCACTTGGACAGGCATTGACTGCATTGCTTGCTACTCAGGGAGCCGGTTTGGGGCTTGGTAATCTGCTTGGCGGGCTTAGTGGGGCGCCTGTGAACCAGGGAGCACCTGCTGCAGGGTATGGGAATCAGGTTGCAGGTGGCTATGGAAGCCAGATGGGAGTGCAGGGTGGGTATCAGAACCCGCAGATGGGGCAGGGCGGTGCTGGTAGGACTCAGCCTGGTGGCGGTGCACCTTACATGGGGCACTAGGTAAGCCCTAAGGTATACTGGATATAATATTTTTTGTTGGCTATTTTATCATTTATTTACTCTATGTTTATTATTATTATTATTATTTTGTGATCTTTATGCATATATGTGATAATAGACTACCAAATGAGAAGTCAGATCTAATTGAGTGACATGTGGTGCTGCATTCTGCTAAACATCATTGCACACTGAGTGAGGTGGGTAGCGCTAGGGTTACGTTTGGTTATTGCGAAGTTGAAAAAGAATTGTACAACATGAGTAGTATAAGTTTGCTTTTCATTTCTGAAGCGCATGGCCATTTGTTGTCTAAGAGTCAACCGGATGTAATTGTTGTCTGTAGATGACTTATATTTTCCCCACGGGGACTTCTGCTATATTTTTCTTGCTATTGGTTGATATTCATCTGCAGTGTAATCAAAAGACAATAGTTCTTAGTATGTTTTAAGTTAATTTTTTAATACTAGTTTTTCAAACAAAGTTTTGTTGTTTGAGAAAGACGGTGGATATTACGGAGTCTTAGCTTATCAACTTTTTCTAGATAGAAAGTCTTATTATAAAAATTTATAATTTATTTATATTTCTTTAAAATTTATCCATATTTTTAGTTGCCTCCTTTCTAAAATTATTATGAAACATTCCTCATAGTTTTATCTCACTTTATGTTGTTTATTGAACTTCGTTTTGTATTCTTTCATTGCCATACATCAAATTTTAGTTGGTTAAGCTATGTTACCATAAAATCTTATTTTGGTTTTGCCAAAGGTATGAAATTACAGTTTATCCTTCTCATGTATCTTTTTTATAAATCTTTTGTTTTTGAAACTTGTGTTTTTATGCTTTATTATTCATTGTGCAGATTCTCTCATAGATGCATCAATCATTTTGTTTTCGACTCTGGTGATTCTGAAGTTCCAGGCACTCATGCAAATGTGGTCTTTAAGTTTGTAACCAAAAGTTGTTACTGTTTGCCTACTATAAAGATCAGAAATCTCAAACCTGTATTTTCATTTCTATTTTAGTAGTCTTTCCCCTTCATGTGTTTTCAAAATGGTGTACTATTTGGGCTCGATGATTTGTTTCTTGAAAAGTGTTGGGGAACAGGTAGAATTTCCAGGCAGAGGACACAATGCCTTTTCAGGTTTTCAAGTGTGTTACTCAAACAATGCCTTTTCGTACTTTTTTCTTAAATTAATTGATGCACTTATTTTATGGTGACTCTATTTCTTATGTGAATCAGAATGTTCTTAATTTAGTTTTATGCGAGACAGAAAACTCTTTTTTTTTTTTGGGTATTGTTACATTTTCTTGATTTCTTGTGGTTTGGTGAACTATTTTTACTTTTATCATAAATTGCCTAGAATCTCACTCTGCTTGTAAAGTGTCCTTCCAGTTTAACGTCATTTAGATTGCTGTGTCCATTACTTTGATGACAGCACTGTAGCACTTAAAGATTATGAAGTCGTTAACTGCAATATTGGATGAGATGAGATTTCAAACTGCAGGTACAATGGCTACATAGTCCCGACTGCCGATTTCATGCTTAATGTATTCCTAACAGGAGCACCTCCAGCTCCTATCAACCCTCCAACCCCCACCCCTCCCTCATCCCCTGTAATTCTCTCATTGGTTAATAACCTTTGCATTAGGAAAGGAACAAATGGAGTTGTTGGTGTTCTTTCTGTCAATGATTTGTGAAATGGTTTCTTTGTCACTGAAGACAATTTTTGTTCATGTAGCAAGTTTTGAAACTGTGATTTGTGACCCTAAGTGGAATCAGTTACCTTAATGTTTAGGTTCCCGCCAGATTGTGTTGTTTCTGAGATCTGACATGGAAGGGCCAAGAAATAGCAAAAATATGGGGAAGTAACTTGTCAAGCCTTATTGACAATATACGCCCAACATGTCTGGAAAGAGGAAGCTGCTCCCTCATGGGGCTAGAATTTGTTGCTAGGTGGGTTGATGGGGGCAGGCAAAGTATCTATTTCCCCAGAGCTATGAAGCTGGTCTTGGGTGCTCCTGTCTGAACTTCACTGAGTGCCTGCCTGCCTGCCTGCCTTGATCTGAAAATTGGAGCCTTTGATTGATGCTGTCGTGTTGATATTCAGGCCTTTGTGCATGTAACGTGAAAATCCTGAAGGATCAATTGATTTAAAGGATGTCCATGTATCCTATAGGTTGCTCTCCAAGCTCTTATAGTTATGGCAATATATATATAACAAGAAAATTTTAAATGTTGAGATGTTTTTCCAATGGAGAAAAAAAGAAGAAGCAAAATTCGTAATTACATTAATCTGTTTGGAGAAAGAAAATAAAACAATGAAAAAATGTATAAACAATGGGATTTTTACTTGCTAGCTGTTATTATCATGTAACTTAAATTATTCTATTTATTTTAAGTTGGGGGCATATTTGGTTTGTAATTATTAGGAAGGGTTTTTTAAAATTTCTTATATTTTCAAGAATATAGCTTGTTGAACATAAGAATGTCTTTCTATTAATTAAATTGTGAATAAAAGGACTCATATTTTAATGTCAACTAGGGATTCCAATTAGTAAGGTCTTTATTATCTTTTAAATATATGAATTTGAATCTTATTATTGGAGAGGGTATGGGATTAAATATCTGAATTATTAATCGAATATTTTAAACGCTATATGTTTAATCTTGTACCCATTAAATATTTGATTAAATAAATTTAAAATAAATTTGTATATATTATTAATAAAAATGAAATTAATAAATTAAAATTAATTCATAAAAAATAAATTAAAGATTGAAATTATATTTAGAATAATTAATAAATTTAATATGTATTATATTAATTAAAAAATTATAAATAAAAAATAATATATAAAATTAAAATTTAATATTAAAAATTATTATTTATATCTATGTTCAGATAATTATTATTTTAAAATCACTACACAAATCCGTGTGCAAGCAATAGTTTTATTATTCAAACTTGATCATAAGGTATTATATAATCTTACTTAATTAGGTAGGATAATGCAAGACATCTATTAACTTCTCTTAATATCATTTAATGATTTTTTATTTAGTATTTAGTGGAAAAATAAAAAATAAAACATACAAGAAATCTTATTTTAAAATTTGGGCCACATTTAAATATGTATAGGCTTATTATAACAAAGTGGGTACGGCCCGACTCAAAAACTCGTAATCTAGGGTTTTTGACGTGACAGATCCAACTCACAAACCCACCCTTGAAAACCACTCTTTCCAATCCCCTAGTTTTCATACTTCCACGCCGACACCCACTTTTTTCCCGCGTTGATTACGCATTTATTGATGTACAGTTACACTGTTACTAACCTGGGGATAGCAGAACTCTTGGCTGACGATAGTACTTTCTCTCTCCCTTGATATAAAAGAAGCAAAACTAACGCAGACAGGCACGCCTTTGCGCTGGCTTTAGCCCTTAGTACACACTTTTGCAAACTTTGTTGGCCTTCTGTCTGCAACTGTCAATCTTTCTCAAACTTCCACGACACTCTCTCACCATTCCACTTCACTCCTAAAACCCACTAAAAACCTTAATCTAGAAAACCCAACTTCGTTTAGTAAATAAAAGAGTTCCTTTCATTCTTGCCGGGAATTGAAGTTTGGGGTGATTTTTGAACTGGGTTTTGGTTCTGCTCATCTGGGTTGTGTTCGCTTTGTTGGAATTTTTGGTGGCTAGCTGCTGGTGGGTGGTGGGGGATTATGGTGATGGCTGAGAATGAGGCAGGGGATGATCAAAAGGAGGTGAAGTCACCATGGAAGACTCCGGTGATTGATGGGGAGAAAGCGGCTGATGCTTCTGTTATGGGGACACAATCTTGGCCAGACCTTGGTGGGACCCAACAAACAACCGACAATCCTGAGGTTTCTGCTGATGGGTCTGCTCCAGCTCCGTCAGTAGAGCAGGTTAGTCATTGCTTTTTTTTCTTTTATTTTTTGTTACTGTGTTTTCCTTTAATTGGTGATCAAACACTTTTATGAGCTGAAATTTGGATAAATTTAAGAACGTTTAGGTGTAATTTGAGTTGTTTTTGGTATGTTAAGTGCAACAAATTGTAATCATTAGTTGTAATGTGGTTTTGCTAAAAATCATTTCAAATGGACAAGTTGTCTTTTTTACATATAAATTTGATTTGAATATCATAGTTGTTTATCTCACAAGCGATGGCTTCATATCCCAGAATAATATGTTGAGAACCAATGGTCTGTTACCTTTCTGGTTTCTTAAATCACTTTTGATCATTTTGTATCGATTGAAAATCTTTGGGAGAGTACTAAGCTATATTGACTAATGACTACTCTTTCATGGCCTTCCTCCTCTTTCCCTCCCCTTCCTACACATGCTAAAAAGATGATTGTAGAAGTTGTTTTCAAATAACAGGAAGAATTGAAATAAAATCTTGGATGAAAGATTTTAATGTACCTTTATGGAATATAAATTTCTCTCTGATGAAATCCCTGCATCATTTGGCCATCTATGACTCTCAGTCAGTCTGGTTGTCTGTGTTTGCTCTTCATTCACGTGCTGTTTCCCATGTGTTTGGAATATTAAGTGGGGGCTTGATTCATGTGGTTGTTAGCAATATACTTTTCCATTCTTTATTTTATCCACTTAATTAAGAAAGAAGAAAAAATGAATAAATTGTTATCTCAGTGTAGTACTTTCCATTTTTTGGATCTTCCAGGGAGCTACTGGGCAGCAGAAATCAAATGGGTCTGGAAACACCAATGCATCTCATAAACATTCATCTGCACGTCATCAGAAGTCAGGCTCTAAGCGCAACCCTAATGCCACGCCTCGTTTTCCTGTACCCTTACCTTATTATCAACCTCCAATTCCACCTGTTTTTCATGCTATGGTACCTCCACCGCACATTGCAGTTTCTGGGTATGCTTACCAGCCTGTCCCTGGACCTTTTCCTGGTATTGAACCTCAGTTGGTAAACTCTGGATCTGAGACAACAATGCAAGCCTTTGGTCCTCCACTTCAAGGTATTGATCCTGGAAGAAATATGCAGCCTCCTCCGCGAGGAGATCCCAATGCATATCCTGCCAACTTCTCTAATAGAAGACCCAACATGCAAGAACCTGGTGGCCATTTGAATCCTGGCTGGAATCATCAACGGGCATTTAATCCTAGAGAAACCATTCCTATGCAGCAGGGTGTCGGACCGAGACCTTTTGTTAGACCTCCATTTTTTGGTCCAGCTCCAGGCTTCATGGTTGGTCCAAGTTTCCCCGGTAATAACTCATTCCCCATGCAAAGGTTTAAAGCACTAAAACATGTTTAATTACTTCTTACTTTGTTAAGCTTCTTTGCCAATTAATAATCATTGTCTACCAACAAGGCTTGCATTTCAGCCTCTCAGGTGATACTACTTTTTGTTTATCTTGAGCTCTTGATTTATATTATGCCTTTCATAAACTGAATTCTGTTTGAAATGACTTATGTCTACCATCCAGGAGCTGTATGCTATGTGCCTATTCCACCTCCAGGATCTATAAGGGGACCTCATCTTCCACGCATTGTTCCATATCCTATAAATCCAGGGACTGCCATGTACTCTCCAGAGACTGCTACTTTGAGGGCCAATATAGTGAAACAAATTGAGTATTATTTCAGGTAAGGAAGGACTCTCTCTGCTTCTTTTTATTTATTTAATAATTTTTTTGCCTGTATGGTTTATTTTTGTTTTCTTTGTGGTAGCTGGGTGCCAATGTCTAGAATTGTTGCTAAATTCTATCCCTTCCCAGCCATTATCGGTGTTGGCATTTTTGGGGATTTGGATTTATTGCTTTGCGGGTGCAAATGATTGATTCATGCCTTATGTGCATGTTTGCATTTCTGAGTCTGGTTGTGTACACGTGTTATTCATGGGGCCATTGAAGATCTAGGTGTCTTATCAAAGACTGATGGTGTGGTATCCACTTTAAAATTTTGTCAACCTATGATTTCATATTGATTGTCTTTTGCATGTCTTTGCGAGTTTTTGATATGGCAATCATATTTTTATGTTTTACGCGTAAGTTTCATGCACAACGTAACTGGCCCATTCATTGGGAGGCCAAAATTTGAAATTTTCATTGTTTACATTAATTGACTGCATAAATTTATTTGTTTTTCAATCATAGATAATGTGTGTGTATTTGTATTACTTGTTGACCCCTAAAAAATATTTTTTCATTTCTTTTTGCAGTGATGAAAATCTTCAAACTGATCATTACCTGATTTCCTTGATGGATGATCAAGGATGGGTTCCAATATCCGCAATTGCGGACTTTAAAAGGGTATGTTTAATACAATACTACTTCATGCCTATAGTAGTATAGCACAGGTTATATGCTGCTGTTGTATTTTTTGGGTTGTGGCATCATTAACTGATTGAACTAGATTTTCTATTGTGCCTTCCTTTTTCTGAAGCTTGAGAAGTATTAGTTTTTAAAGCTTTTGTGTGATTTAAACGTTTTGATTCACAGGTTAAGAGAATGAGTACAGACATACAATTTATCCTCGATGCACTGCTGAGTTCTAGTACTGTAGAAGTGCAGGTTAAACTTTTATCTCTCTTTTCATAATTTGATTTCTTACAGTAAGTATGCAAGCTGGAGTCAGGCCATATGTTAATTTGGAGCATAGAATTGATCTGTTATATCTTTTTCACATGATTGGCTTTAATTTACCATTTTACCAAATTCATAATAGTTTTGACCAAAATGTTTCATTTGAACAAGTTTCTTCTTTTCAATAAATTGAAAGATCATTATATGCTGTAAGTAAAACAATAACTTTTTCCTATGTATGGTGCCGTTGTGTAATCCATATTTTTGATACACTATCATAAATTGTTTTGTCAAAAAACAAATTTTAATGTTGTTGCTGAGGGGGCTATAATTATGAACTAATGATGGTGTTGATGCTTGTATTCATACCTGGAGGTTTTAAAGTTTGTGTTCTGACAAATGTATCAAATGAATTGAGGGGGCGGCTTTCTTTTGGTTTGGGGGCCAACTCCTGTTGACAATTTGTAATTGTTGTGGGGTACATTGGCAAGTAATAGTTCTTTGCTGATGCTATTCTTTGCTTCAGTGGCCTTGTCTTTACTTGGTAATTTATATTATAGGGTGACAAGATACGGAGACGTGATGAGTGGTCCAAGTGGATTCCAGCTAGTTCAAAGACATCATTGTCATCAGAAGCTCCGGCTACTCAATTTGTAGAGAATGTTACTGACTCTTGTGGGAATGGTGATATGAATGAAGATAATTCAAGGGACACCTCTGAAGAAAATCTTAAATTTCCATTGGATAGTGGGAGCTTGGAGCATGTATCACCTGAGGGCAATGCTGCAGAAGTAACACATAGAAATAACTGCAAACATGCAGATGTGCCTGTTCTACTAAACGGTGAGAAACAATCGTTTTCTGGTGGAAATGGTGACTTGAACAGGAAATTACTTGCTGATTTCCACATCAAATTGTCAGATGCAGATCAGTCACATGGAGTTGGGCCTGTGAGATTCACTGACCACAGAAGTGTAGAAATATCATCAGATGTAACAGTACAAAATGTTGCTGACCTGTCAAATGATTTTGCACACACATTTATGCTGGATGAAGAGCTAGAGCTTGAGCAAAAAACACTAAAGACTCTTTTAGCACTTAACAGGTACTAGATTGTTTTTGTGTTTAATTGGTGCAACATCTCATTTATTGTTGAGCCAGGGAGATTTCTAATTTCTGTATAAAGGCATATTTAAACAATTCTAGATGTTAATAATGTTCCCTTGAATATCTGAATGGCATTTTGTTCAGAATGGATGATGAAGATGATGAGATGGTTGTCAATGATCAAGATGTTCATAGACTTGTGATTGTGACCCAGGTAATGTGGTACTGCTTTGTATGAATTCTTTTTTGGCCTTTTTATTGTTATATTTAATGTTTAAAGAGTGGCTTATTGTAATACCCTCATTGGATCTTCCAAGTTTATGTATTTACTCAGCAATTGATGATAGTTGGCTTGATATCATGACATTTCAATAGTATCATATTGAGTTGTTTGACATCATGAGAGAATGATAAGAATGTCAAACTTTACATTGAAATCAATCCAGTTTAAGAAGAATATTTGTAGAAAAAAGTACCCCATGTAAATCAGTTTTTCACAGGCATTGCATTTATGAACATATACACAAATAATGCATTTTACGGAGTTGAGGCATTCTAAACTTGATTCAAGAAGGGCAATGTTTTTTCTCAAGTGCAAATTGAAAGATAACCTTTTTTTTCCCTTTCACGTCAGCAATGATTTATAATTTATAGACTTTAAGAGAGGACATTCTACTCTACTCCTCTCCTCTTGCATCTTCTTTCTCCCAATTTCTTTCAATTTTCTAATTCTTAATCGAGGCTGTTAAGTTCTCTCTCTGTTTGTAGGCTATGCCCATGAGCATGCGTTTTGTTTTGATCATGTTTTACTCATATTAAACAGTCCAATGTTCTTTCATCCTTTTGATGATCTGTGCACCTGCCTTCTGATGTGCAGAATAGTGGGACAGGTGACGGATCAAAAGCTGGTGCTAAAGATTCAAAGTCCATCTCCAGTGAGCTTGCTGCTGTGATAAATGATGGTCTTTACTTCTACGAACAGGTTGAGACACTAGCTTCCTTGTTTATTTTCCACACTTTGTATGGTACATATTTATAAATTTCTCCCTTTGGTGATTCTTTTCTGTAATCAAATTCTTTGAACATGACTGTTACAAGCAGGAGCTTAAAACTAAACGATTTAGTCGTAGAAAGAATAACTCTATTTATGAGAATAAAGATGGTTATCCAAGGTCTCCAAGGGGTGCATTAGGAGTATCAAATTTGAAGACAGGTGAAAATGTTGCTGGGAGCAGTGGTCTTGAAGAGTCTGGAGGAGCAAGTTCACGAAGGAAGCAAAATAAAGGTTTCGCCAAGCAACAGTCCTTCCATAAGCAGAGATTTTTCTCAAGTAACTTAAAGAATCATGGAACTAGTCGTAATTCAATTGCAATAATTTCAGAAAGTCCACCAAGTAATTCGGTCGGATATTTCTTTGGTTCTACTCCTCCTGATAGTCATGGGTTAGTTCTAAGTGACCATTTCTTCATTTTAAATATCATACTAACTGAAGTTCTTTTGACTTGCAATTTAGAAGTACTTTTTCTTGCCTTTGAGTGCAAGAATATAAGTTACGATAGGTTTCAAATATAAATGAAACCTAATTTGTTTGACTAGAGTCTAAGGTTTGCCTGCGCTAATGAATGTCTAAACTTCAATCTTTCACAGACATAGGCCGCCTTCAAAGTTGAGCTGTTCACCACATGGAACTCTTTCTAGCAGTCCACCAGTTGGTTCCTTGCCAAAGTCATTTCCACCTTTTCAGCATCCAAGTCATCAGCTGTTAGAAGAAAATGGTTTTAAGCAACAGAAGTAAGAGAATGGTGGAATTTTTTCTCTAATATATGTGTTTGTGTAATACTGTTTTGCACAGTTCCACGTATAATATCATGACTTTGTGAGACTTTTGTTGTATCAAAAAAAGACTTTTTCTTTGTGGTCTGTGCTTGAGCCTGTCTGGATGCACTTGTGCTTGCTCACATGGAGAGAGAGAAAGAGCACTTGTATAGCAAAGTTGGCTAACTCAGTTGTTGTTACATTCAGGTACCTAAAGTTTCACAAGCGCTGCCTGAGTGACAGGAAGAAGTTGGGAATTGGTTGCAGTGAGGTGGACTTCATATCTGAACTTCTAAGCTACTAATTAACTATTTTATATGCAATGAAAGAACAAG